CTATATTTGCCCCCCCCCTTTTTTTTTTTTTTTTTTTTAACTTCCACCGCTCCAAGCTTGCTCCTGTGATGGACTACAATCTCAATACAAACATTTTTAAAATGTATTTTATTTTTTGTCCGATTAATCGAACATAATAAATCGGCTAACTAATCGATTTTGAAAATAATCGTTAGCTGCAGCTCTAATCAGGACTAGTTCAGGAACCACTGATCATCATAAAAAGGTACACAACCAACAGTGGAGAACCCAGGAAGTGATGGAAGAGGCCAGTACTCTAGTACTGGTTCTTTTACTTCCCATGAATATGTAGGCTGAGGTTTCAAGGATGCATAGGTATCTTGATGCGGACACACATACATGTCCTTGATACATTGGCTTACATCGTTATGTAAAGTAAACAAAAAGCCCATACTTCTAGCGTAGAGCTGGCCTCTCCCTACTCGAAAGTGCATTTAAAAGCCCAATGTGCAAATGTGAACCAGGCTTATACGCTATAAATAAAAAGCATCTCCATTTCAAGCATCTCCTGAACAATGGGGCAGATGCAGTGTAGTGGGTTGAATGTGAATGTTTTAGTACGCATTTGAGGGTTTGGGAGCCAATGAAGAACAACTGCCCACTGTGAATACATGCTCATCAGTTTATGGGTTATGTGTATGTTATTGTTGGGCTATGTTTAAGTATGTTATACTGGGTAATCGGTTTATCAAAAGACTGTCAGCACCCAGCCCCCCCCCCCTTAGTTAGCTCTCTTTATACTGCCATTTAACTTGTTACAGCCTGTTTGTCCATTTGTTTCATTTTGTCAATGGTGGGATTACCATAGCGCACTCTAGGTGTAGATGAGTAGATTACCCTACGCTAGACACTCAGGAGATAATCCCATCCTATTTATTTCCCTCTCCCTATTCTCTCATGAAGGCACCGGGGAGGGGATTGTTTGCATTATGTTTTTAGACCACCAGAACTACATAAATACTGTGCTGGTTTTCAATAAAGCAGAGTTTGTTTCACCCTACATTTGGTTTCGGCTGGTGACTGGGTGGACTGGGAGTCAATTATCATCGGGTTGCAGCATCACCTCAGCGAGGAAGACTACAGTGGCAGATGTACTCATCCTGAGTACTGGAGTCCGTCACACCCACATTATACAGTATCTACAGCATTTGAGGCACAGTAGTCTATTCAGTGCATTGCTCCATTACTTTTACACTTTTTGTATACAGTGCCTGTGTAATTCCAACCTTATAAAGCAACTTTACCCAGTTGAGTATAAGTTTGAAATTAGTCACATTGGAGCAGAGATTTGCTGCAGTCACAAATCTTTCAAAAGGCTCATTTTACACCAGCAGGAGTACGTTTAAAGTGTACATAAATGTGAACCCACACCGAGATCAAATGTATGGAATTTGACATTTAAACTTTTCTTTCAGCACACACCAACGCAGCGCATTGGTGAGAAATGAAGAAATAGGAAAGAAGAAATTGCCTCGTCTATGCATTGGGCAAGAATGTTCTACAAAGCTGGGGTGAACGAGCGCTAAAGATTTTAACTAGACAATTATTAGCAGCAGCTGTATTGGATAACATGAGTAGCTAATGAAGCTGGTGACACTACAGCTACCTTCACATGTTGCACAAAGTCAAATGCTCAAGGACGGAGCTACAAAGCAAATTGAATTAATGAGGCCCAGATCACTGACTGACTGCAATTCAAGCTCTCCTAGCAACAAAAACACTAAAGCAGAACAATTCTGTAGCTGACACAAATGTGCTTGGTGACAATGCCCTTAGAAACAGTGATCAACCCTTCTACAGCCTAAAACTGCATACAAATAAAAAAATCTGAAAAATAAGCAGGTTGGATATGAAGATACTAACCTGTTTTAATATTCAGTGGAATTGGTTCAACAATACCATTACCTGTAACAAAAAGAAAACACACACTGTTAGACCATAAGCCATTCAAAAATCAACAGTTTTCATTGTTATGGCGGAAATTTAAAAAATTTATATTTTATCATAGGACTGCAACCAACTAATTGAATAATCAATAACACTGGTCTGCAAATCTTGGGAAATTATCGACCCTTGAGATAAAATGTATCAACTCTTACATATTTTGATTAGATGAATTAGAAAACAGGTGATAAAGGTGCTGGTTGGCTAAAGTTTAAAGATATTTCACAATAAAGATGTATTACACAGGCGAGTATATTTGCCTACAAGGGAGGGAGGTGTCTGATGATCATGAAGCCTCTTAACTTCTCGACAAGGTACGTAAAACAATGAAAATAGTACCACATGGAAGGGTATAAATTGATCTTCACTTTGAGACTAAAGATTATTACCTAACTGTAATTTATTGTTCTTTTATTGCAAGGTACATTTGTCTTGGTCAGATCTACGCATCATAAAGTTACATCTGGTGGCTTGTGTCATTGCTAGGGATGCACCGATATATTGGCCGAAAATGGCACTTTGGCTAAATGCCAAAAGTGCCATTTTACTGCCGATACATCGGCGCATCCGTGATTTCTTTCCTCCCAGCTGGGTGCTGCTCTGTGTCCCAGGGGGGAGGAGAGAAAAAAGGGACAGCCGGCCGAGCGCTGGGGGAGGAGAACGCTGTGAGCGGCCGGTGTCTCTCCTCGCACACCGCTCGGCCGCCTATCACAGTGCAGCAAAGCTGTGTGGGGGCGGAGACCACGCTGTCACAGGAGGCTGGGCTCTCCTCTCGCACGGCTCACTCAGCCTCCTGTGACAGTGTGTGTCAGAGAGGAGAGCAGGCTACAAACACTCAGCGATCAGTGAATTGAGGATATGGTATGGTTATTATATCCTCAATTATGAATGAATGGGAGTGATCTTTATCCACTCATTCATAATTGTGGTTATAGTAAACATACTATATTCTCAAGTGATCAATGAACAGGAACACTCAGAGAATTCCTGTTCATTGATAACAGGGGCTGCAGAAAAAGAGATTGAGGACTCCGTGTTCTCAATCTCTTTTTCCATTTTAAAAAGGGAAATACCAGGGGTCTGTTTAGACTCCTAATATTTCCCCAAAGCCCCTAAAAAGTAAAAATATTTAATAAAAAAATGAATACAAATAATTTTAAAAAATGTAAAAGTTTACAAAAAATAAATAAAATATTTAAATATATGTAAAAGAATTAAAAACATTTTCGGTATCGGTTTTCGGCCTGACAATTTTTTCTATTTCGGTTTCCTTTTTTAAATTTCTATTTCGGTGCATCTCTAGTCATTGCCTAACATTTCCAGTGAACAGTTGCGTGAGATTTTCCCTCAGAAACCAAGATGCCTTGAAACTGGGTAAACAACGCAGATATTTTCGGCTATATTTGTGGCAAGGTTATATTTGCATCTCAAAAGTGCAGTATGATGGCAGTGGTAAAAAAAAGGAATAACACCTATATTTTGGATGCAAAATAGGGGGATCAGGACAAGAGCTGGGCCCCTCATTATTGTTGCATTACATGTGCAACTTATCTGCGTCATTGCCTAAACAAGAAGAAAAGGCCATGCCTTTCGCAGTCCCAATAGTGACTGCTATTTTTGCATGGTTTCCCCAATTGCAAAAAGGGATCTCAAGAAAGAAAAAGTGGACCTTGGAATATCCTAACATTCCATCCGCACTGCGTCCTGTACCTCATGGTGAGGCCTATTCCAGATCCACCAGAAGCCTACTCTCTAGAGTCGGATGATGATAAAAACGATGAGCAGGATGCAGCTGATTCGGGGCCGCCAATGTCAGCAGACCCAGACTTTAGCCCACCGTATGCTCCTCCAGAACCACATCTAAATTTCACAGAGTGAACTAAATGACCTGGTCAGGGATTTGGAATTGCCTAAGAGTAAGGCAGAGCTACTGGGCTCCAGGTTACAACAGTGGAACCTTTTGCAGAATTATATCAGGATCTACATTTTCCGTGATCGCCAAAAAGATCTGGTCCAGTATTTCTTAGTGGAAGGCGATTTGGTTTATTGCAATATCGATTTGGTTTATTGTAATGTCGATGAAAAGTTTCAAAGACTTAGTGAAGCCAAAATCAATGAAGGCGTCTTTGTCGGTCCACAGATTCAAGAACTTGTCAGAGATGACAAGTTTGATCATCTCAGGGGTGCGATATTCCTTTCGCCCCCCGTCCGGGACAGGCAGTTCCGGGCGATTAGTTTTTTTTCTACATTTAGCCCTGCTTCGGGCAGGCGACAGGGTTAAATGTAGTGTGGGAGCCGTTTTGTTCAGGTGATCTTGAGCGGCTGTACAAGATCACTTGTAACCAGCCTGATTCTCCCTCGCCTCCCCTCTCTCCGGCAGCTGTTCATTTCAATGGCATCCCAAATGCACCTCCTGTCTGCAGTGTGATCGCCTGCACTGGAAAGCGCTGTACTGCATGCAGTGCGTTCCAGTGCAGCACAATTTCAGAAAATTTGCATAACTTTTTATTCTGAAGTAAACTTTATGTCTGTAACGCTGCATTTGTGTATTTTAATTTTAAATAAATTACGATATTCATTTTTACAATTTTATCCGATTAATCGAAGTTAAAAAATCGGCTAACTAATCCATTATGAAAATAATAGTTAGCTGGAGCCCTACTGCTCTCCACATACTGTATGTCAGTGGCTAGGGGAAGTAGCCCAAGATAGGGGATTAGAACTTGGAAAAAAAAAAAAGCTAAAATTTGAACATCAGCAACAGCACTGTTTCATCTGCTATGGACAATTTATTTTTTTTGGATGAGGAAGGGGTGTGCCTGAAACAGCTGATGGAACAAGTTATGAATGCCCCACTACATTTGAGAAATGGAAAAATAGGATTTTTGTACTCACCGTAAAATCCTTTTCTCTCCGTTCATTGAAGGACACAGGACAACAGATCGTAGATCCTGAATGGTAGGGTATATCGCCACCTGCAGGAGAAGGACGCTAGGCACATAAGAGACAAAGACAGCCTAGGGGCGGCCCCTGCTGGTGGCCAAACCCCCCACTTGCTGACAAGTCTCCAGTAAGTAACAAGCAGTTAGGAGTGTACACCCCATAAAAGAGGGCGGGGCCTGTGTCCTTCAATGAACGGAGAGAAAGGGATTTTACGGTGAGTACAAAAATCCTATTTTCTCTCCCGTTCATTGAAGGACACAGGACAACAGATCGTAGATCCTGAATGGTAGGGACGTCACCAAGCAGTACACACTGAGGGATGGGCAACAACAACCAAACACCCAAAGGACCCCTCAAAGAGCCGCCTGCAACACTTTGCACCCCAAACCAGCATCCGCCAATGCCAAAACATCCACCTTGTGAAACTCAACAAAAGGTGTGGACAGAAGACCACAAAGTGGCCCCACAAAACTGAGAAACAGAGGTCCCATGACGGAAGGCCCAGGAAGCCCCAACAGCCCCAATAGAATGGGCACTGACAGGGAAAGGAGGCTCACGCCCCTTAACGGCGTACGCCTAAACAACAATACGAATCCACCGAGAAACGGTAGCCGCCGACGCGGCCCTTACGAGGGCCCTCCGTGAGCACGAACAAGGAATCTGACTCACGGAAAGAAGCCGTAGCTTCCAAATAAAACCGAAGAGCGCGAACCACATCCAAACAGTGCAGCGCTCTTTCCTTCCCATGAACCGGTTTCTGGCACGGAGAAGGCAAGACAATGTCCTCATAGTCCGAGGCGCGAAGGCAGAAGCCAGGCCCGGACGCATAGAGGCACCCGAAACGGAGTACATGGCCCGCAAAACCGCCTCCGATCGGCGGGGTCCCCAGGGGGGAAGGGAAGACCGCCCTGGTAGAACGGAAGCCACGGAGACCAAAAGGCTACGGGTCATTATTTGAAACAGGTAATTTGGTCTCTCCATGAGAGGTAAACTCTGGTATGTATAACTAACCAAGAGTGTATTTGCAACAATCACTGATGCACGATGATCGTGGAGATCATGTGTGCAGATTTTAATTCAAAAACGTTTTGCAGCATGCAAATACGGACTATGAAACTTTTGCTGAGGTGTTCACTTCCCATACACAAATCAAAAACAGGCAGTGTGAATGTAATTACAATTAGTGATGTACAGATACTTTTCGAGTACCAGTGCAGATACTTGGCATTTTTATGAGCACTACCAGGGTTGCAGAGGTTGCAGCTGGGACCTGGCTCTGGTGCTACACGACTGTCCTGAAATCATTAGTCTGTATTGTTTTAGAAAAACGGTCACATGACAATAAACAAAAATGTATCAGTGTTTGTACTTGTAAGTACTCGGCAAGTACCAGTGCTCGTACTCGCAAAACTGGTATCTGTACATCCCTTAATTTATAAAAACAAAATTGTACATTAAAAACAGAGATGTACAAATCCCAGGAGCTCAGTGTGCTCCTTACAATTGACAGCTGCCTCCTAATTTTTCCATTTTTCTCTAGTGTAGTCTTGGAGCGCAAAAGTATCAGTACATGTACTCTTACTTGTACCGAGTACTGTACTTGGTATCTGTGCAACCCTAATTACAATGTAATTGCAATGTGTTGGCTGGTGCAGACTGAGAATTAAGTGTTGGGAGTTGGAGATAGTTCAAATAAGTGTTGGTGTTGACCCAGTGGCTGCGGATCTTCAAGCACATTTTAAAGTCTGTAATTAAGAGCTTAAAAAGGTCAAGTTTACCTTTAATACCATGTTTCATACCATGTTTCATGTTGCATCCAAATTCAGGGTGTAATATGAAACAGTACCAATAAAAATGTTACCTGTTAAAAAAAAAAAAAAAATATGAAACAGTCACATCCCCAGACCACCACTTCCATTCTGTCCCACCGGGCACCCCACCAAGAACTAAGAGCCGGCTTTAAAAACCTTAGAGCCAGCATTACCATTACACAACCTGCTTATGAGTATATAGCAGGG